AACCAGTGAAGGTATGTGATGCTAACAATTCAAGAGAGTAAGTGGGAGAGATACAGAGTGGCTACTAGCGTAGAAGTGTATGCTAACTACTATGACTGGCTGCAGCTGAAAAGTGGTGACATAAGTAATACGAGGAAATGATAATGATACAAGGTGAGATAGAGAGTATCCGCAACTAGCAGTGGCATTGGGGTGTAGGCTTCTAGTGGCTAGTGGATATCTAAAGTGTCCCTGAATAAGTCAACGGTCAGCAAATGAATGTGACACGGACGGCCATAAAGAGTGAATGTTGGGGATGCAAGAGGGTTACACTTGGCAGGCTCCCGATATGTGCAGAGATACATAGAACCTACGACCACTAGTTGCTACTAAGTAGAAGTGCTGAGGTAAAGAGGATCGACAGAAACTGGTACTACGAGAAACCTTCGGTGGCCAGAAGTAGGCATTCCATTAGACACTTTGGTCACAAGTGGGTTCCTACAGTGTCACAGAACACATCAACAAGCCAGCGAAGGTAAGTGATACAGACATTCTGTGAGATTTCAGGATGAAGAAACGAGGAATGTCTCCTAGTATATCCAGATAAGCTCAAAGATATATGGAGCCTACAATGAGTCACTGCAGTAAACGTAATGGAGATAAGAAGAACGAAGGATAATTGTGCTAAGTGAGAGAACCAGTGGGCAGCAACGGAATTCCATTGAACCATTTCATTTTTATTAGATACTTACAGTGACAGAAGAAGTCAACAAACCAGTGAAGGTATGTTATGCTAACCATTCAAGAGAGTAAGTTGGAGAGATGCAGAGTGGCTTCTAGCGTAGATATGTATGCTACCTGCAATGAGTAGCTGCAGCTGGAAATTGGTGACGTAGGTAACGCGAAGAACTGATAATGATACAAGGTGAGATAGAGAGTATCCGCACCTAGCAATGGCATTTGGGTGAAGCCTTCTAGTGGCTAGTGGATATCTTAAGTGTCCCAGGGTCAGTCAACGGACTGCAAATGAATTTGAGCCGACAGTCAAGAAGAATGAAGGTTGGGGATGAAAGAGGGTGGCACTTAGCAAGCTCCGAATATGCAGAGCTACGTGGAGCCCTCGACCACTAGTTGCTACTAAGTAGAAGTGCTGAGGTGAAGAGGATCGACAGAAAATGGCGCTACGAGAAACTTTCAATGGACTAATGTAGCCACTCCATTGGACACTTTGGTCACAAGTGGATTCCTACAGTGTCACAGAACACATCAACACGCCAGTGAGGGTAAGTGATACATACAATCTGAGAGATTGCAAGATGTGAAAACAAGGAATGTCTCCCAGTAGCTCCAGATAGGCTCAGAGATATATGGAGCCTACAATGAGTCACTGCAGTAAACGTAATGAAGATAAGAACGAAGGATACTTGTGTGAATTTCCGCTGTGTGGGCGGCGTCATCTGCTTCTGCATGTGTAAAGGACCATGTAACTCGACTTAATTCGTTGTGTACCGCGTTTATCGAATACACAATCTAGTTCGTGCATTTGCAGATGTGGAAATACTATTCGCAAGCTTTGGCGGCATAACCGAGGAAAACTTGCAATTCGCAAGTACAAATTGACACTAATCTTATTTGCTCGGACTGAAATATGCAACAGATCGATTTGAAAATGTGTAACACAAACAGAGTGGTCAGTAACAAGCCGATTTTCTTGATACCTACATTAGCCGTGATTTCCGAGAAGATCGTGTTATTTTACTTAGGAACATTTAAAGCAGGGTATTTTGGTGCTAGTGCAGTACTGTTTGCATTAGATCTCTCATGCTTAGCCAAAATAGTCTTTTCGATTCATAAAAGTATTAGACAATGAATCAATTGAAGTTATTTGTGGTGACGAGCATTGAGTTTAACAAAGATTTTGAGGAAGCAATCCACTAAGCTCTCCTTTAAAATATGCGGGTGAGTTTATGGTGTGCCACCAGCATGGTTAAAATTGGAAAACACCAGGCAGTGGCTCTCAAATAAATAAATGCCACTTAACATTTGGCATAAAACAAGTTAGACAATTTGCCGTTTTTCTAATTCACAAAAACAATATTTCCAAAACTAGGCATTTGCCTTAACCATCTACCAGAACGGCACAACATGAAGCGCGCATCTCAATTTTCCAACTAAGTATATGGCCCAGCAAGAGCAAGAATATGTTTCAACAAATCGATATGTGCAGCTACAGACAGTTTCTCGCATCAGAAATGTACATAGCAAAATTATTATATTAAATGCTTCAGTCAGCGTAAACCAACGTGTGAAAATCTGAAGACCAAGGTAGTCTAGTTTAGGAAGAACCCAACCGCTTCTCCAAGTGGTCAGCCAAAGGATGAAGAAATTAACGAGCTTACGTTTGGCTTGGGTCTGCCTCGCTGAAAATCCTCGAAAGAACGACCTAGGCGGACACTCATGCTGATACTTGAAATCTTTGCATGTTATTACAGCTTATATACAAAAGGATTACGCCTTGTTTTGGAGCGCAAAAACGGCCTATAACTTAGACTAAAGTGTTGACCACTCCATTACCTCTTCAGTAACAGCATAAACGTCAGAGTAGATTTCACTTTCCTAGTGTCTACTAATAAAAAGCGAGGCACGGAATAACGAAATCCTCCAACGCATCGTTACCAGGCTCATATACTTTTATGAGAATTGTAATCCGATTTGCCGTGAGAGCAACAAGGACTCTACAAAACGTTCAATCTTTGGTTAGGGAATGATCACATCGTGACCTACCTCATACCTTCCCACTTGCGAACGCAGGAAATACGTGCGGACATTGATACAATTTTGTGCTGCTGGATATGCCGAGTTATAAATGTTTCGGGTAGTGTGTCAGAACCGATCAAGTAGGTTACATTTATGCAGATGTTCAAAACATTGTCCGGTCTGCATCTCACTATAATTCCATTCAGAGCGTAATAACGCGCATAGAATAAAAGCGGACATTTGCAAACGAATAGGACAATTAGGTATGTAAAAAACACTTAAAGACGTTATGTAGTAATAGGTAAACAATCTCTTTTATTACAATTTTGCTCATATGCAAATGAAGCCGTACATATATATATATATACTTGCTATCAGAATTTATGTACTAAATCTAATTCCGATAACTAGAGAGCTTCTGCGCTTTATAGCTTATATCCCAAAATCTAACCGCATCGCTCGCCACTATGTTGCGTAATGCGTGTCAATACAGTAACAGGAACTACCGCCAAAATAATTTGCGCTCTAAAGATAATAACAAAAATCAGAAAAATCCTAGTATTGGCTTCGTTGTTTTCTTGTAATGTAATATTACCTATGAGTTCCTTAGTAATCCGAAAATCGTTTTCAGCCTTGTTAATATTTACCGTTTTATACAGGCAAAATACGGCACTAAAATATAGTACTTTATACCGACCACATGTTTGCAAAAAAGCATTCGCTTTTGTTTTTGTCGAAATTGATGCGATTATTTCAAACTAGTCAAATACAACATTGCAGTAAACTAATCACGTAATTCAGCAATGTTTTTATATGAATTGTATATGCAGTGAATATCTCATGCACGCTTCAGGTACAGCGTTACATTTATAAGTAAATTTATTCAGGATGGTGATTGTAATTCTACATAGTGTTATCTTTTGGATCGTGCTAAAGATTTTAGCTGATTTTAACTCGATGTGACAATGCGTAATAAGAAATCGGATTATAGCATTTCTGGATTCTGCTTAGCATGCAATTCATATTGTAAAAGTGTTTATTTTGTATAATGTTCCTCGGAGACTGGTTGCCCAGCTGTTTACATTTACTGAGCTGTAGATTAGTATATTTCCATACAACTACACTTCTCTGCCTGTACTATGTGGACGTTAAAATTCAGATATTGCAGTAATTTTATACCAGGCGGTTTATCAAGCCATATATGTTATCTGTTATATCTCTGTATATTTGTAGTATAGTAAAATAGCTTTTATGCTAGCGTAGTTTATTTTCATATACATATATATATATATAAATATATAAATTATTATGGATATTTTATATAAATGCGTTGTTTCTGAAGTTCGCGAGGCCCTCAAGTTTTGTGGTCAGCTAGAATCATGCAAAATATCAAAGTGACGATTGCTTTTCATGTTTAATAGAAAACATATGTGCTTTTATGTTGACTCAGTACAACGCTTTTAACTTGATGAGCGGATTTTGGCTAGTAGTACCTAAATGTATTGAAAAATAGCAGTTTATTGTTTTTGACATTCCAGTAACTAGTTGATTAGCGCCGTAATCTGCAATTGCCGCGGAGTGAGAGTTAGCTGATTGGAGAGTGAATTTCTGCAGACAAGTACGGTTTGATCATGGGGATTTAGGATACTAGGTCATAACGATATTTTTGCAGCACATGAGCCATGCGAATATGTTTAGGAAGCAGGCATGAAAACTTATCCATATCGCGTATTTAAAAAATTTCATCAACGTCAGTCAGATCGTTTACTTTCAGATTGTCAATAACCTAAATTTGTTCGGGAATCTTTTGGAACAAAGTATGATCAAAAATTGACTCCACAGAAAGTAAAAATAAATAACTAGTACGTTTATGTTTAATTGTATTCTGTATCACAATTGTGGTTATGTGTCAAATAAGCAGGGACACAAAATTAAAACGTGCATTCTGACATGAAGTTCGCAAAGAAATATTCGTGCCAATTTTTTAAAGAAGGATTATGAGATCCTTCGTGACCCATATGGACCGATCAAAAAGATTTGAGAAGGGGAGCGAGCGTCGCTTCCATAGTATTAAAAATCAACTTAGATTTCAGCATATGGGTGAGGATTTTTGATATTTATTTGAAGAAATTCTTCTCCGCATATGAAATAACTCCAGCTTAATTAATTACAAAATTTATTAGAGTCGCTGTATTCAAATTCCCACAATATTGTAGGCAAATATCGTGAGTCAAATAATTTGGTTTATTGCAGACAATTGTGGAATGGAGCTGAATAACAGCACAACAAGAACTATATCTTGGAAGAGTCAAGATGAAAGAAACACGCTCTGTATCTGGAGGATCAAAGGCGATGAAGGAGACATAGTTTCTCTAAAGATTGAGGAACTTCAAGTAACCTAATACAAATGCTCTTCAAAACAAAACACCTAATAAATTTATTAAGGTTTTACCTTGGAATCTCATGAGCAGCAAGTATTTCGATACGTGGTGTGGCCAAATGTAGTTTTAATAATTTTTATTCTATGTGTATTTTACATAAATCTATCTTTTGTTATTGATAAAATAATCACTATTCCAAAGTCCGCTGCACGTTCAATATTTTTACATATTCTTTGTTCGAACGAACAACCGCGTTTGCATCTATTATTTTTTAAGTTTACTACCACTTGACTTACCGGATTCTTATTATATACATTAACGTGCTGCGGAAACACAGTTCTTCTATCCTGCATGTATAAACATACAATAGTGGATTGCCATTAGAAATTATTAAAATACCCGCATTTATTAATTCGATTTAGAATAGAATAGACATAATCTGACACAGTCATTTTATTAAGTTGTCTTTCATGGTCTCGAAAATGTGCTTCTGTGATATGATTGTCATCGCTAGATTCTCAGTCAAGTGGGGGCATTTATCTGAAATATTGCAGCAAATAATACTGTTCTTAATATTTTGATCGCGCTGACGCATTGTAGACTCAACAGAAATATTATGGAAAAAGAATCTTCTACCTTAGGGTTATGGTAACTTACTTAGACTACATGATTTTGTAAGTTAGTAGGTATTCAAATTGCAGCCAGATGCATTTAGTTTTCCACTAATGCTGATCAATACTTTGTGCTTTTCATCTAGTGTACATAGCTATTAGGACAAATATAACATATTATGTTGTTGACCATACCAATAATGATGCTATATAGTTAATCGGTCCGTTTGCATTTGGCGTTATCTAAAGTAAAGAATTTGCTGAATGTAACTATAAACGGCGTGTTCATAGCGAAATCCACTGCGTAGCGCGTGGTGGTTTGCAATGGTTACTCGGCTGCACCTATTATATTTGTTACTTCTAAGGTTACGGTGGAACATTTTCTAATAAAATAAGGTAATAATTATTAGAAAGGGGTTCCAGCGACATATAAATTGCTGCATGCGCCGAAGAAAATTGCAGTTTTAAATTACCGCTAACGATTAAGGCTTTTTACTTACCATGTGAATATTTGCATAATTTGCCTCACATTCGACGGCGCAATACAATTACTGAACTTTAGTGAATCCCAATAGTTCGATGGTAAACGGACATATAGGCAAATAAAATGTCAGTATTATTGGCGAAAAATACACGAAGGTTGTGTAAACATTTCAAGAGGTAAAACATACTACTGAACGCTTTCTTGTAAGCGATATAATACACCATATGTATTCACATGAATTTGCCTATAGAATGGGCACTCGGATAAGTTTTCATCTTTATGTTTGCTGATTGTGTTTGTTATAGATTCCTCATGGTGCCAAATATTTCTAGTTTGTCACGCAGCCTGCAACAGTATAGAGGAATCTAAAACAGTCTGAATTAATAGGCGCATTCCGCTTATTAGCAGTATAATTAACAAGGAGTTTGGATGTCTGAGGCAGCACAACTATAGCCTTCAACCAGATGAAAGTTGCTCTAGCTTTCTTGTGATATGGGTTGAATTGATAACCTAGCAAACTGACTGAATAAGCTTAATGGCATTTGCTGGATTCTAAATATATTATTTGCTAAAAACAATGATTTTGGCTTATGCCATTATAAATTTACTGTTTAAACAAATGTCGTTTAGTTTCACAGCCGATTTCGCGTAGCAGCTATATAAGTTCATAACTTCAATTACGAAATCCACAGGAAATGTCAATTTGCATACTCACCGTGTATTTTTGTATACGGAGATATTGCAAACATTCTTACAACGCAAAGATGGCAGCAAGCGACTGCGTACGTTGCAGTCGCTGAACTTTCGCCGTTATGGATCATTGTTGCTCAGTTGAGAAAACAAAAGTCTACACACTAATCATTAGGGTAAACATACGATAAATTGTACAATATTCAGGAAACACAACCCAGAAAAAAAAGCTTAGGCATTTTGTACTTTTTATTAAATATTATTAGTGCCATCCTTGCGAATCATTTAAGTCTCATCCAGTAACACGCTACCAATTAAAAAATCGATTATGTTTTTTTACTGAGCGGATTTCCACATAATGTATTAGGCAACCTGGCGAGAATTCGGTCATGTGAATTCGATGTCAGCCATTATCTACACAAAGACAATCAGCGCAAGCACGATTTGCGTGTTCAGCCCCATTAGAGGGTGAAGTTGGTTTTTTCAAATCCTATAGCAAATTAACGGACCAGAAGTAACAATATTATATTGGTTTGCCTAAACATGCCTTCTTTATATTCATTGATTTGACAATGTTAAAAAATATTGTTGTTTCTGAGATTGTACTAATTATGCACGGAAGATAAAATATTCAAAATATTTTTTCTGACAGCTGGAAATGGAAAGCGATTTTCTCAGAGTTTTGGATGGAACTGATTGCGGTGCAGAAGTTATTTACTTTTTCAGAGGAAACTCGACGTTCCAACCTCAGTCGATTTATAGCACTTCAAATGCTATGGTCATCGTTCTGGCCGTGCCAATAGCAAAATATGATCACATAAACTCAAGCTATTCTTTCCGTGAGTTCTAACAACTTACAAAATGCTATGCCAACTATACATCTCTTGTTCGCGCAAATGTCACATGTGAAATGTTTATTAAAATAAACTATTTTACACCTGCCAAGAAGACGGGACTAGCAGTAATGGCGAATGGATTGTAGGGAACAGCAGGACATAAAATATACGAGAATGTTGATACATATTAATTACAAAATTTCTAGAATACTGCAAAATTGATGAATAATTGTGTAATATCAATATACGAATATTTCCGTAAATAATGCGCAATGCCACTGCGTTGCGTATGGCATGGGAAATAAAAAGTTCTTTTTACTTGGCACCAAATAACCCTAACAAAATTTTGCGCAGATTGAGTATTTGAATTGCATTTTGCATAAAGTACTATGCTGGTATGTCAACAAATTTTAAACTCAAGTAAAGCAAGCCAATTTGAATTTGATTGCCTTGGTAGATTATATTTTCTTTAGCTGTAAACAACTTGTATTATTCGATTACTGTTATCTTTAGTAAATTCGTGCGATGATAAAATAGGAATTTACATTTAATTAAAACGATTGTAAGTCGGCTATATATGCAACATGTTTTCCGATTTTAGGCCCAATTCCTGTTACTAAAATGAAACTATAAGCCAGAGTATCGCATCGTTGTGGTGTACATAGAAATCAACATATCTTAACCGTGAAGGCACATACAAACTTTTCTAAGTTTACCACATTTGGGACGGAATAAGTTGGTCGCCTTGATCATATGTTTCGTGCCAGTGGGCAATATTCTGAGGCAAATTAAGGCAAGTTTTTGGTTGCCCATGTCAGACAAGTGGTTGCAATGGAAAGTAGGACGGGACTTTTATTGTTGAGCAAAAAAAATGTAGCAATTACCGTGACTTAAAGTCTACGCAGACGCAATTCCAATAAGGCCAAAAAAGTTTCGCCAATTTAAGGACTGTGGTATATACGGAGATTACACAATGTATAATAAAACCATTCGTGCATGCTTCTTGGATCAAACAGAAAACTGACAATATATTAAACAATTGCTAGTACTTCTGCATGAAATTGTTTATCCATGATCAAAAAGTGAAACAAATATGATTAGGCAAATAATTTTACTTGACTCATAAAATTTACAACGGTGAGATATTCGTAATACATTATTAATGGTGAATTAAGATAGATGGCTTAGCCGTGCGTTTTGAGATAAGAACGTTGTAGTATAACTTTAAAATAGAAACAGCAAAGATGAGTTTATAGTGCTAAGGAGTTATGAGTATTTCTGGATTGTTTAACTTTTCATCACGCCACGCATCTTCATAAGTACACATGGACAGATGTGGAATTTTTAAAATAATTTTCCTACCGAAATAACTTACAGACGCTATTATGCTTTTGCTTTTATATATGCAATCTTTTCGTCTCTTAGCCATATCCTTAGCTCAAATGTCTACTGTACTGTGTACTCAGAAATCTCTCATCACTAACTGTAAGGCACGCACGACATGGCTTCTAACCACCCAGGCCGACATACTCCAAAACAGGGAAAAGTACCGCAGAATACGGAAAATATATTCCTGGAATAGCGGAGGTAAATGACAGAAAGATTTGAAGTAGTGCGGTCTTTACCAAAGGTGAAAAACGACGAGGATAGCCAGCTGCCGACTCTAAGAGTTTTACGCGATGCTTCGCAAGAAGAGGAATAATACAATTCTAGGTGAATCTGCCCTCTTCGCACCGCAGTTGGTTTTGGATACCAACTTATCTAGTAAAGCGCTCTAAATTATAAGGTGATCACGTTAATTCTGCACGCAATAAAACCGCCACTTTATGCTGCTACGCACTCCCTGTCATAAGGAGCTGTCCTCAGCATCTGTTACTGGTCTTGCAATCTTCAGCTCGTTAAACTCACGACTGTCGACGGTTCTGATAAACCACGCCTCATGATTCGATAGGTGATGTCTGACAATACATTGTGTACTATATACGGCCCTTCCCAATTGCGGTGAAAATTTGATGTCACACTTGCAATTATAACTACTGATTTAAACCAAAATGAATCACCTGGTTAGAAAACGCTTCCAAGAGATGAGTTCAAATTACTGTTTCTGCTGTTGCCCTGAGGCCATCAGAATTGATTTTATTTGATGTGCTCGGACAAGACTGTATCGCATCCGAAGTATGTGTCCCATGCAATAAGTGGTTCGTAATGCGATGTAGTTAACAGCTTTACGAAATGTGAACACAGCTTTCGTTACGTTATCATAAGATGAAGTTTGGACCCGTGGAAGATTGAACTAAGACAACATAGACGAGTGACGGTATCAACAAATCGGTATCCCATTCCAGAGATATCTCATGTTTTAGGAATGATTTCAATAATGTTTTTCTTGCGTTTGCTTTTCTGAATTGTTCTATTCCCTCTTTGCTGGTACGCGGTCTTTCGAGTTTTTTTCGGATACCGAAAATGCGGCATGCCTCGTTCATAAGTACGTTACAATATGAGCTCCGCAATAGGCATACAAATAATAGGACAATATGCACCTTGTCACGCAATCGCCTAAGATAAATTTCGCAACGCTCCTTGCATCAATATTTCTGGCAATGTTGCCCTTATCTTTTCCATCAATATTGCTAAACCAGACAGGGACAGTAAAAAATTTGGAAGCTGGCTAGACAAAATATATTAGGCACAGAACAAGGATAAATATCTTAGGCAACTGTTTTCATCTTCCGCTGCATGATCTGAGCACATTCACGCCACTTGCCTTGACAGATTCCATACTTACCAGCAGTCTTCAATGGACAGCTGCGGTGACGCCTACACTCGCATATCTTGCGTTATTTAGCTGGGCTTCCGCGGTCCGGGTGGCTACTCTTATCATGCTGACTGACATTTTTATAAGCTGCCGGTTTGACCATACAACAAGTCTGTCAGCCGTGCATGTCGACTGGCAATTTTGCATTGCTAGTTTGCAATATCGTTGCCCGCCATTTCGCCTCCTTGTCAAACTTACGTGGTGAAACAGCAATACAACATATGGTAATGTAATTTATCATATCTATATATGGTTGTCCTGGAAAAGTCTTGGGTAAGGGACCGTCGCTGCCAATGTCCACAAGTCAGTTAAGAAATCTTGACAATCTCGAGACAATGGTCAACACCAATTGGTTTTGGGGTTTTCTATTCATACGCAGTCTGCATACGACTAAAAATTTATTGTGATATCTGACCGTAAAGGTGACTACCGAAGCAGACGCTGAATAATACATTGTCTATCTCTTTTTTCCCACGTGTCCTGATTCCACTTGAATTCTCCATACTTCTCCTGGATTGCAGATGTCAAAAGGATTAATATCCGTTTGTAATCATGTCCGTGCTGAACGTACAATATGCTAATAATCACGCGTAAATGTTGCCAAAGTGACCAGGGAAAGCTGTCTCCCTACAGACACCAGTCAGTTCCTGCTACAAGGGCCTGTACTTGCTTTGCACTTTACGGTCGTACAATGGGCTAAATGTATGGTCAATTGGATGTAGTTGCATTATCTCTTCGGTTTCTACAAATCTGAGAATGCTGGCGGATATGCAGTAGTCATACAGGATGGACGTGACGTGGTTCCTGAGAGTCTTTCATTATTGTGCCTTAACATTTGCATGCTGTGTGGCTAGACGGCGTTGATATCTGTAATCTTAGTATCGCAGCTGTTTCTTAGACACAGTCAAGAAAAAGCCTATTTTCGAAAAATCACAGCCGAGCTTTCCTGATAGGGGTATTCCAACTTCACAGCCTAGAATCCACGACCGCGCTTGGTGTGAAATTCAAGGCGGAACTGAAATACATATTTGCTAGTTTACTGATGTAATTCCTGTAAACTAGCAACGGCAATTCAGGACAGAAAACAAACAAGCCATCCTGGATCTCTTTTTCGTCTACGAGGAACTCACAATCGACGTAGCAAAAACACCCACTCCCTTTGGGCCGCAGCGATCGTGCCACACTGGTTTTTTATTGCGTGTTTTACGCAGTGTATCCTAAATATTACATCGAGGAATCCCATGTCGTAAAAAATTGACGATGCATCCGACATCCTAGGGGCAAAAGCCGGTCATTCCTAGCCGAATCATCTTCTTGGTTTGCCGACGGACAATTGGTTAACTGAATTAACAAGCTCGTGGCAAACACATTTGAAAGCAAATTTCAAGTAGTAATAATGTAAAGTCATTGGTGAAGAACAGCATATGTAAATGCGAGGCATGAAGGGCATTGTTCTGGCTCACTTAGCCTCTCCGAGTCAAGACGTTTCTGATATCTATACAACACAAAATAGTTGCTGTTCAAAAGCATCCAAGTGATAAAAATTAAGCACCAACAAGAATTAGTGAAAAAACTTCGCACTAATCATATGCTGTTACAAAGACGGGTAAAAAGCGGCGTAGGTTTAAGGCCGAAATTCCTTCTCTGTATATAACATGCAGGTGGTCCCTGGCGGTTAATTTTTGTGCCCAACTTTCTTGAACAAGAGTGTGGCAGTACCATCCAAATCGTTTAATGATCTTACAACCTGTCCACGCAGATCTTGCCGCCAAAAGGACATAATCACATGTAGTTTTCATTAACAGATATACCTTACAGGCTGAGTTCCTTTCGTGAATTCAGCTTTCCGGGTAATGAAGGCATTTACACGAAGGCATTAAACATTTCCGTTCATCAGTCTAGCGGAATCGCTAGAACTTTTCTTTCAGCGTTGTCTTAAAGTGATGCACGTCATCACGATGTCGAAGCACCGGATTATCACTCTTATTTCCAAAGATAGTGGACGTGATGAAAAAGCAAATTATTGTCCGATAACACAATTTGCTTTGATCCTCAAGATTATGGAGTCAATTGTAGCTTTGGATTTAATGAGGTACATAATGAACGACAAAATACTGATAAGCACGTAAATCGCCAAAATCGGTAATTTACGACTAATTTCTTGATATCTATGGCAAGCTGGACGAAG